TGGCTAAAATGCCCATTAAAATTCTCGTCGATCAGGCCTGTATTGAGCTTCCATCGGGTCGGCGTATTGCATTTTTGGCAAGTCCTACCAAACTACGCACGGTTTGTGCAACGGTCCAGGCGCTGGCAACTCAGACGGTGCGCGTGCCCCCGGGATCGCAGATGCTGGTACCCCTTCGGTTACGGAAACCCTTCGGGGTGGATGCGGCGGGACAGGGTGTCCTGTTGGGGCCGTCAAACAAAGCTGTTGGGGGCCTTGACTTGGCGGTAGCTCAGACCATGGTGCGGGCGGACAGAGATCCATTCGTTATGGTTCTGAACGCGGGGTCGCGGCCAGCTGTTATTACACAGGGCACCGTGCTTGCACACGCGGCGCCGTTGCCCGTGGATGAGCAGCTCGTTGCACATTTGGATTCTACCCTGGATCCGCATCCTCCATCGAGCGAGGACACACAATGGTTGGACTCGTTGTGTGCGGGTTCTAGTAACCTGTCTAGTGTGCAGTTGGGAGCGTTGAGGGGCCTGCTACTCGAATTTTCTGATGTGTTTAGCAGACACAAATACGATATTGGTTGCACGGACCTGTTGCGCCACCACATAGCGACGGGTGATGCGGCCCCAATTCGGCAGAATCCCTTCCGGCTGAGCCCAGCCGAGAAGGAGCATGTGCAGTCGGCTGTTAATGACATGCTGGCTGCCGACATAATTTTGCCCTCTTCCAGTCCATGGGGTGCTCCCATCGTCCTTGTTAAAAAACAGGACGGGTCCTTGCGTTTTTGTGTAGACTTCCGCCGCCTTAATAAAATCTCGATGGCCGACGCGTATCCACTCCCCAGAATGGATGAGTCTCTAGATGCCTTGGCAGGGGCGCGTTTTTTTTCGACGCTTGACCTGCTTTCGGGATTTTGGCAATTGCCCCTCGATGAGGAATCGAAACCAAAGACCGCTTTCCGGACACCGGGAGGCCTTTTTCAATTTAATCGTTTGCCCATAGGACTCCATTCCGCTCCTGCCACGTTCCAGAGGCTCATGGAATTGGTTTTGTCAGGTCTCCAATGGGACACCTGCTTGATTTACCTCGATGACATCATCGTTTTCAGTCGGACCTTTGAGGAGCACCTCCAACGATTAAGGGGGGTGTTCCTCAGGATGCGTTCCGCTAAGTTAAAATTTAAACCAGGGAAATGCCACCTGCTTCGGGAATCGGTGAGGTACTTGGGGCATATTGTTGGCCGTCCTGGGATCTCTACAGACCCTGCTAAGATGCACTGCGTCAGCTCGTGGCCAACGCCAACCTCGGTCACTGAGGTCCGCAGCTTCATAGGGTTCGCCTCCTACTACCGCCGTTTTCTTGAAAATTTTGCCACCATAGCCAGGCCCCTACATGCTTTGACGGCTAAAGGGGTAAGGTTTCGCTGGGGGCCGGAGGAGGAGGCTGCATTCTGCTCCCTTAGGGACGCTTTAGTGCGGGCTCCTCCCTTGTGTTACCCCGATTTCACGCAACCGTTCCTGCTTGACACGGATGCCAGTAACACGGGTATTGGGGAGTGCTCTCGCAGGTGGTCGGGGGTGTCGAACGGGTGGTCGCCTATGGTAGCAGAGTTTTGTCACCAGCGGAACAGCGCTACTGTGTGACACGTCGTGAATTGCTAGCGATCGTTTTTTTTTATCCAGCAATTCAGGCCGTATCTCTACGGCCGTCATTTTACTGTTCGTACGGACCACGCGGCGCTCCAGTACGCAATGCGGGTTGCCCAACCCTCCGGTCAGTTATCCCGATGGTTGGAGGTCCTCCAAGACTACCAATTCACGACCATTTACCATAAGGGATTGTGGCACTCGAATGCGGATGCCTTGTCGCGATTGTCGCCTCGCTCGGAATGCGCATGTTTTCTGGGATCGGCGCGGTGTAAACCCCCTGTCGCCGTCCCCGCGGAAGTTCTGCTCGCCGCCACTGACGCTCCACGGGTCGACGTACCTGCCGCTCCCGCGTGCGGGGACTCGTTACTCGTGTTGCCTCTTATTGAGTGGGGCCATCTCCAGATGGCTGACAGCTCCCTTATCACGTTGCGTCGAAAGGCAGAGGGTCCCGAGGGGGGGGAGATGGGGGTCGGCTCCTGGGTGGTCAGACAGGGCCTCCTGATGAAGTGGGACAATATGTCCCGGCGTCATGCGCTCGTTGTGCCATCTGCTATGCGGGGTAGGGTCGTTCTAGCTGCTCACGAACGACTCCTGCATTTGGGATTTCATAAAACGCTCGCCCTACTCCAGCGGGACTATTATTGGCCGGGTATGGGGAGCGACGTGGCGAACATCCTCAAGGGGTGTGTGGGGTGCGCTCAAAGAAAACCGCTACCAGTAGCGGCTAATCCACCGCTACAGTCCATCCAGGTTTCGCGCACGAACGAACTGGTCGCGCTCGACATCTTGGGGCCCTTTCCCGTTACACCTAGGGGTAACAAGTACCTGCTAGTTGGCGTGGAATACTTCACCCGATGGCCCATGGCATGGCCACTCGCCAACCAATCGGCTGCGGCAGTGGCGGACGCCTTTGTCCAGGGCTATGTTTTGGACAAAGGTGCCCCCGAACGCTTGCTGACTAACCAGGGAAAAAATTTTTCAAGCGTTTTGTTGCACGAGGTGTGCGACCTGTTGGGTACGAAAAAAGTGCGTACCTCCCCGTACCACCCACAGACTGATGGAATGGTTGAACGTCTCCACAGGACGATTACTTCTATGTTGTGCCAACAGGTGTGCGACGATCAGGTTGACTGGGACTTACAGGTACCTGGGGTCCTCGCGGCATATAGAATGGCCCCCCATGCGGCGACGGGCTTTTCCCCATTTTTTCTCATGTATGGTCGAGAGGCCGATCCACCCATGGATGCCCAACTGGGGATTTCCGAGCCGCGTGCAAAATCAAAATTGGCCGACCACATCAAATTTAATATCGCCAAACTGGCTGAAGCGCGGGAGGCTGCGAGGTTGAATTCGAGATCTCGCCAGATCGCTAACGAAAAATTGCATGCACGGAAGGTGTATATGCACAATTGGAAACCAGGCGATAAGGCCTGGCTGCACTGCCCACATGCACCGTTGGCTACGTCCCCAAAATTGCTGAGGCCATGGAGGGGACCTGTGGAAGTCGTGCGTATTGCGCGACCCCAGTGTGTTCAGATTAAATGGGGAAAACGCCGTTGGTACGTTCACCCCTCCCGTCTGAAACCTTTCGCGGCGCCACATAGCCTCCCTTTGTGTCGTGACGACCGAGCATGTGATGTGGCCGTCGACTCGGGGAGGGACATGTCGCCACCTGATCCTCACGTGTCTCCGCCTGATCCACTCCCAGGTGTCTCGGACCTGACGGCTGCTGACCGTCGGAAACCGGAACCCCGAGGCACGCGCGGATCTCCGATGCCTGCCCCGTGCCTTCCTGGACTGCCGGCACCACCTGACGGTCACCCGCATCTGGTGCCGTACGACGGACCGGCCAGGCGGACTCGTGCTAAAACGCGACACTTCTCCTGAAGGGGGTGGAGAGGGAGTCTCGGGGTTGCATCTCGTCACGGCGTTACCCTTCGGTCCGGTCTAATGTCCCGTTCAAGGGGCGGTCGGTAATGGAGGGACGCTGCACGGGTCATTCTTGTATATAGTTTATTGTTGTCACTCGGCGGTTTGTACATATTATTCTTGTTGTTACGGTGGCGTGTTCTGCTTCTTACGGGATTCGCTGAGTTCTTGTTGTGTTGTGTTGTTGTGGTTTTTGTCGGTGTTACGGGGCACACACGGGGAGGGAGTTTTTTATTTTTCTTAGCAGCCGGGCCGGCTGCGAGCTATGTGGTGGGGGGTGATGTAGTGACGGTACGCGCTGACAAGGGGGGAGCGTGTGTGAGCGCGTCGGGTGTGGCTACATCGCGTGGTATAGTGGTGACGCGCGCTGACAGTGATGGATCATGTGGCGGCGCGTGGTGAGTGGTTGTGTGCGCTGACACAAGATGGGAAAAAGGATCGTGTGGCAGCGCGTGGTGATTGGTCAACTGGGGTGGGTGCTCACATCGAGGTCCGCATGGGCTCCGTCTCCCCGGGAGCGGAGGACTATAAAGGGGGATGCGCGGGGGCGTTCGGGGAGTTGTTAATCAGTGAAGATCGAAGACGGAGTTGGAAGAGATAGGGCCCTGAGACCCCTAGTCCCGCTGTCCTTGTAAGGGCCGGGACCCTGTGCGGCTCAGAGGCGAGACCGTGGGACCCGCCGCCTGACGTCCTTGTAAGGGCGAGGCTGTGGGACCCAGTGGTCGGGACCCAGACCCCAGTTGGGGTGGGTTCCCTAGAAGCTACGGGGTGGGAGAGCCCGTGTGTGTGTAGCCGGGGGAACCGCGTAGCATAGGCTGCAGTTGATCACACGTGTTAGTGAGTTGGTGTTAATAAAAGTGTGCTACCCGTCAAGTCGTCTCCCGCCCAAATTCCTACATTACACTTGCATTAAAGTTCTGTTCCTGTTTGTGTGGTTTACCAGTCCGTTCAATCCTTCCATTGCATACAATGACATCAAACGAATCTGGTTTCCATGGGGTTGCTGTCATTACTCAACTATACCCTCATTGACAATTACCAAATAGGAACGACACCGCTTCCTATGGGGCTGTTCTCCAATGCGAAAATTTTACGTTGCTCTGCGAGCGTTCTGAACTGATTCTTCGTTTCGTGAAACGACGCCCGACAGCGCGATCACAATGAAGTTGTGAGGAACAAAAAGGCGGAGAGAAAGTTGGTACCCCCATCAGAGCAGAGGAGCCGTGGAGGCGTGCACCGTGCACTGGCTTTCCCGGGACCCAGGGGGTCAAGACTCTCCCGGCATAGCATGCCGGCAACCGACACGGCGGTTGGGAGCACGAGCCCAGACACAGCACGCCGACAACGCAGGCGGCGATGAGAAGGGCAAGCTCAGACACAGTGCGCCGACAACCCACGCAGCGGTCGGGAGCATGATTCCCTGGCCCACACCTTGGCTTCGAAGAAGTTCTTGGCTCCCTTGACTCCCTCGGCGGAGACGTCGATCTCCGAGAGGCGAGCGAGCGCCAGCAGCCCGCTCTCCTCCTGCAGCTCCCCAGCCGCCGCTTTGTGAAAAATCAGCAGGAACTGTACATGAGGGGATGAGAGGAAACACGACGGGGTGGTTGGGACCGTTTTTGATGTTCCCCTCGCACCTCCGATTGGCACGGTTGGCTACGTATGGTGTGACAGAAGTTCAACACAAGTACATACATACAGAATCAAAATATGTATACTGGTGGGATCCAATTAACTATAAAGCTCTTTTTTACAGATGTCCAGTAAAGGCGAGGTCAGAACATGACAACAATACAAAACACGATAGGAATGCAAAGTAGAGGCACAGTAAACAAATGACTTAAATATATAAACAAAATCAAACTTTGTGGCATGGCTTTTATTTGTGTGGTACGTTTAAGCAAACATTTGGGCTGACACAAACCACACTAAGAGCTGCCTCTCCACATGCTCCCACAGTGGCGAGATTTTAGCTACTTTGCCTGATATGCAGGGTCGTGGGTTCAATCCCCAACTTGACGCCTGCTGTATATTTGGAGTTTGCATGTTTTCCCAGTGGTCGTGTGGTTTTTCGCTCCACATTTAGAAACATGCTTTGAAAATATTTGGCTGCTATAAATTTTCACATGATAAGCCACTTCATTGGACTATAATTTGTGATAGCCAGATTGCTTCTGAAAAAGAGTTAAATAGCTCAGTGGGCCTTATCTGGTAAAATAAAAAGTTTCGTTTTAGTTTATACCCATTTATGCACCAATCTCAATGGCCATTAAAACATCAAAAGTGAGCTCCTGTTGGAATGAGCGTTGAGGTGCACATGTCCATATTACACATTCTTATGGCAGGGTGGGGAGAGTCTCTCCAAAGGACAACGGCTGTTGACTTCCCCACAAAGTGGTACTTATTTTATCGACCTCGGAAGGACTTTGGGCTGAGTCAGGCGCATCCAACAAGGATTTGAACTCGTAACCTTCCCGATCGTGAGCTGTTCGCTCTGCGACTGAGCCACCTGGACAGCTAATGGTTGTTTAAGACTTACTCAGATATTGTGGAGGGTGTGAAGCAAAGCGCTATGAATAAACCTCTCCTGAACAGCTTCAACCACAGAGAGTATAGCTTGGAGGGTATGGGCAATAACTGCGAAGATTGACCTGCACCCAACAGCATAGCAATAACATAAGTAAGCATACAATGCACCTACTCCCCAAATATGTCTCAACATGTAAAGCAATTGAGAGTCTTGTTTTCCACATCCCATCAGCCACGGAGCCTTCTGGGAGTGATTTTTTTCAGGCAGCATTGGTTAAACACTAGCCAACCATGGATCGTATACAATGGCGGAGCCAGGATTTTCAGGTAGGGGGGGCAACCCCTCCATCAATGAAAAATTATAGAAGTTGTTAGTAAGTAAGGACTTATCCCTTGCTCTTAATTCGACGCGTGTGCAGCGATGGCGCAGCCATCGATCGAGGGTCAAATTCGAACTGTGTGTGATCGGCATCACGCTCGCTGAAGGTATGCCTTCAGGGAAGTCGTATACTGTATACACAAGTGCGCACAATTCTGAGTCACTTATAACTGCTTTGCCATTACTTATTGCCAATTATGGACTCAGACTATTGTCCTATCATCTCATAGAGTCCCTGGCACGTAATAATATGCTACACAGTGGCCGTGGGGGTCGCAAAATTCCGATTTATTACTAATAAACCCCAATGATCCTACCCCCTCCCACTGGCTCTGCCAGTGATCGTATAAACCCACATTAATCAGCACGGGTTTAACACTAACCTCCTCTGAACTATATAAACCCACATTAATCAGCACTGGCTTGACACTCGCCTACTCTGGATCGTATAAACCCATATTAATCAGAAATGGCTTAAACTAGCCTACTATGGACTGTATGGACTCATATCAAGCACAGTGAGTGGTACTTTAGTCCCCGCACTGCGGAGCACTCACCTCCCGGAAGCTGAGCCGCCCATCAAAGTCCTCGTCCACCTCGGCGATCATCTCCTTGAGGCCCAGGTGTGTCTGTGGGGCGCCCAGTTTCTCCATCATGCATTTGAGGTCCATGAGGTCCATGTAGCCGTCCTTCCTGGAGTTGTGCCTGCAAGCACAGCGGAGCATCACGCTCATCTATAAATACACGCATTTCAGATGTGGGGTCGTTGCAAAAACGATCGGCGTATAAGATGTCATCATTCACCGCTCATCCCCGTACGCGAGCACGTGGTTAATGGTCGGCTGCCGGATTCGCCCAGCTTCTCCCTCACAAAAGGTTGCTGGGCACACACGGCGATAACAATTACCGGGGTCGCCATTCTGGCCGTTGCCAATACAGAACAAGCCCGGGCGTGTGCATAACTCACAAATAACATTGCCCACCTCTCTCGGCCTGACTATTTATATTTTACCAGGTAAAGCCCACTGAGCCATACAGCTCTCTTTCAGAAGCGACCTGGCCACAAATGATAGCTCAACGAAGTGGCATATCACGTGGAAATGTATAGCGGCCAAATACTTTAAATATATGTTTCTAAATGTAGAGGAAAAAACCGGTTGCCCAGGGAAAAAATCACACGTGGATAAAAATCCATGGAGAGAGCATGCAAACTCCAAATATACACAGCAGACGTCAACATCGGATTCGAACCCACGACTGCCGATATACCAGGCGAGGTAGTTATCATCTCGCCACCGTGGCACTCCATTACATGAGCGATGAGGGGATGAAGTCAGTGGGAACACCGAGAACTCAACTGAGTGGGGGTTAGCAGGAGGAGGGGTGAAAGGTGATTAGCCGGGAAAGTTTAAAGGGACAAGCAGTGTGTATGTATTTATGTTGACCTTCTTTCGCACCCTACGTAGCCAGCCGCGCTAATCGGAGGTACGGGGGAAGGACAATGAACTAAACAGGAGAGTAAGCAGGAGGATACATTTATCAATCCACCCCTTCCCTGGGGATGGACAATTCAAACGTACAGTCTCAGGGAAAAGCAAATGTATCCACACACCCTTTCCCTGGGGATGACAATTAAAACGTACAGTCACAGAGAAAAGCAGAGCAGAGCCAATAATTCCATCCCTTTCAATGGCACCCTGCAAATAAAGCGCCACTAAAGAATGAATATCACTCTTCAAAAACATCCAAAGATCGCGAAGCCACCACCATATTGCTGCAGAAGCGTCTGATTAGCACCCAGCAGTGCATGTTTCTACTGCACAACTACTAACTGCTGCTACTGCTGAATCATGTATGTGTCATGTGTGTATCACGTGCGTATTAATTGTCAGCGCATAAGAATGTGGTGACATGAACGTAATGAGTCAACCGAGAGTTGTCTCACAGTGACAAAAAGCGCATTCTTCAAGAGACACAAACCCGGCTAATTTGATTGGTTACTTAGCTTGAACTGCACACGTTCGCGTAACGTTCACCTTACGTTACAAGTTGCAACATTCACGTCTCCGTTTTGTTTGCTTTACAGGGAAGTTCAGAATGTGTATATTCCCGAGTTCGCAGGAAATACGCTCGTCAGCCACGCTAGCAATTAGCATTGGCCAGGGAGCGGCAGCCACACGCCCTTGTATAATAAACGCAGGCACGCTCCATCTCCGCTGTGGACGTCCACGTGGTTCAGTTCCCTCAATTTGGCTGCCATGATCAGCCCACTGCTGGATGAAGGCCTCACCTACTGGACATCTGTGAAACTACTGGGCATCTGGGAAAAAAATGCTTCATAGCTCGTCGGATTCCTCCGGTATTAAATAAATATTCATATTATGTGTGCTACAGCTGGTGTTGTTGTTAGGTACCAGCAGTGCCCGATTTAGGCATAAGCTAAGTAGGCTGCAGCGTAGGGCCTCGCATTATGCCCTACCCAAGTCCCGCTTACTTTTATTTCATCAATTGTGCACCTTCGCTAAACCACGTTTCTCCTCTTTGCGTCTTTCAGTGTAATTACTGATTACATGACAGTACATCATACCCACTGATTACACGAATGCCAGCGTCCTCTTTCCAGCTGCGCGTTCACGACCCGACATCGCCCCTCTGTGATGAAGGAACCACACAGGTTCGGATTCAGCCGGCAGGATATTCTTCGGCTGAAGGAAGTGGTGGGCAAGGTTAAGATAAAGCCGACCCCCCCCCCCTCCATAGCGACCCGATGGTGTCACCACCGGTGTGGCACACGCACTTCGAATCAAAGTGGCTGCGGAGTTATTGCTGCCGCAGCTTGGGGCTGTGTCGCGTCACCTGGGCGGGCAGTCGGCGCAGCGGACGAGGGCCGATCCGGGCAGCCACGTGGTATACGATACAACTCCGTCCTCTATTCGTTTCTCCACTCAAACATACAAACGTCTGTCTTGTTTTACACATTGCATCAGCCACACGGCCTTCTGAGAATGCATCTTTTAAGCAGCAGCAGCATTGGTTTAACACGGGGATCGTCAACCAGAGACGCAATGCGACTCTGGTTGCGACTCTTTAAGGACTGCTTCGTGACGTTTTTAATGCTTATTTTTGCATCCTTTCCCCGCACCTCCGATTAGCACGGTTGGCTCCGTACGGTGCGAAAGAAGTTCAACATACATACATTAAGGACCGTCTCGTATTCAAATGCATTGCGGCTCTTGAATTTTTTTTTTACTGAATTCGAAAAAAATGGCTCTTTGTATTATGGTGGTTGCCGGCGCCTGGTTTAACACAAGCAAACGTTGGCTCGGTTTTGACACTCGGCGTCTTAGCAGGATGAACGCAGCGCTGGTGAACTTGCCTGGTTTGCCGATAGCCGCTGCGGCTTGCAAAATCGCTGCACGGCTCAGGCGCGCAAAGCCGCAGACCCAGCGACGGGACGCGGGTGCGCTTGGAGGCGAGCGCTGCTGCTGGACTGGACCTATTTCGCCTCTGGCAGGGCGAGACTGCTCGCTCCTCCCTGACCAGCGCGATTTCTCTTCGCCCGTGGCATCGTTTTTTGTGACAAACACAGTAAGCGTAATTCGATCAGACGATTTGTCGGGAATGTTTTTTTTGGGGGAGGGAGGTGTTTGAGCAGTGGGCTCACCGCGCCGCGCTTCGCTGGATGCACTTTTCCAGGAATGTTAATGAGAGAGTTACGGTCGGGATTTCCTGCGCGGATGCGAGTGTTTTCATAACGGAGTCATTTGCGATAAACACCGCTCGCCGTTTGGGAGTGGCCGAGACCCTCGCCGAACACGGAGTTAAGCGTCGAGCCCGGGCGTCCATCACCAGACAGATACCTCGGCCTCGCAGCCCAACAGCTTTGAACACTTCCAGGAAATCTGCCCGGAGAGCCGTCGAGGTTTGCAAGGCTGCGTGAGTCGGGGCCTCAGTGCGCCCAGTGGGGCTGCAGGTTGCGCGGACCTCCAGTGTACGGGAAGGCGTTCGCATTGGCTCCGTGCTGAGCGTGCAAACACCTCGGCACAACGTTCCGATCGTATCGCCACCATCACTGCCGTTTTTTGCTGCTGTAAAATGGACACTAAAACCATTGCCATTTTACAGAAACGCGACGGCATTGCAACGTCACTGTCAACAGCCCAGAGCGACATTCATTCAACATTACCGGCCCAATAGTGTTCCTGTTGCTCGCCGATGGTCTAATTTCCATTATTCACGAGCAGGCCCGGACTAGCCCATAGGGGCAGCAGTCCCGGTCGGCCGTTCTGTGTGGGGAAATTGCAAATGCAAAAAAAATGAAAACGTTATATATATATATATATTTTATTACCTCTCGTGTGTACGCTTCATTGTTTATTTGCGCTCTCAGCTGGCATCGAGTCCCCAGATATTCAGCAGACCCAAATTGTACTCTTCGCCGGGCCCATTTGTTTTTTGGACCTAGCCCCAAATGGGCCCAATGAGGATCGTGCGGCAAAATCCCGCTAATGCGTGATCATATCGCAACATCTTAACTACGAGTACTGCGACACAGTTTGTCATCGTACAAAAAACATTTAAATAAAAAAAAATGCCCAAATTTGGACTGGTGTGTTTACAAATGCCCCGGTTGATTTTAGTCCCAGTCCGTCACTTTTCATGAGCCATGATCAATCCACTGCTGGACGAAAGCCTCTCCTCAGGACACTGTTTAGTTTTTACATTAAACAAAATGGCACGAGGGGGGGCTCTCTATACCAAAAACAACCCCAGCAGCAGCTCGGTTCTTGTGAGTTGCTGGACACCGGAATCCCAATTACCACGAGGCCCCTCCCTGCACTGATCGCGCAGAAGCTCCCCCCCAACTCCCCCTCCCCGTTTGCGTCCGGGCTGCTCATTGAGGCCCGGCTCATCTCCTGCTCACAGCCCTGAGCCCAGGGCATAATTATGGGTGGGTGGGGGTATGTGGCAGCGCTAGGAGCCCAGTCGGCCACAGAAATACCAACAATTAACCATAAATACCAAAAAACAATGGTTACAAATGAAAAAAAAGATTTTCCAAAAATAGATCGCGTAAAATATAGTGACGATACTGATGGTGTTTGTTACTGAACACCACCAGGATGTTGACTTAGAGCTTTTGTGACTGCAGGAATTCATATTATTTGGGTCTTTCGGTAAAGTCACGTAGATAGGTTCGACGTGACTTTACCGAAAGACCCAAAGAATATGACCACCAGGATTTTTTGCTAACTGACATGCGCATGAAAGCAAGACGCACAATAACTTAATTGTAAGTTTTGTACCTTCAAATATTTGTATTAATATTTCCACTGTGAGACTGTCTTCCAATACACGGTGCAACTAAAATAATATATATATAGTTATAGCCGAGCATATACCTACTATAATCACCCAGGAATGTCTGTCCTTAACGCTCGTGACGTCACTCCACATCGACCAGCCCCCCTAATTAATATTCATGAGCAGGTGACGTCCTCCAAATGGCCACCCCCCCCCCACCTGCTCATTAATAATCATGAGCGGGTGACGTCATTTCAAATGGAGAACCCCCCCCCTCACTAATAATCATGCGCAAGTGATGTCACTCAACATCGAACAGCCCCCCTCATTAATAATCATGAGCAGGTGACGTCCTACAAATGGACACCCCCCCCCCTCCATTATTATTACCTACTATAATG